AGAAACTATTGATAATATAGAACAAAATTTAAATGATTGGACTATACCTAAAACAAATATAAATACAATTTATAGAATAGGGACTTTTGATTATTTTCAAAGTTACTCAATTAAAATGACTGAACAAACCCTATCCATTGGTCAAGACCAACAAAATTTTTTGATGATAAAAATCATACATTAGTTTATAAAACTGTTTTCTATCTTTGCTTATAAACTTATGATTACTGATTAGAACTTGTAAAGCTTTTAATTGATTACAATAATAATGACGATTAGCTTGTATCTTTGAATCAGACATGATGAATAATAAAAGAACAAAAGTTATTTAAATATTTCAAGCATGAATTTGATTAACTTGATTATTATTAAATGCGAGTATTATTTTAACAAAAATTTCAAACTTTGTAGAATTAATAGTTAGAATAACTCGAAATGAGATTGCCATAGAGATAATACAACAATTGAATAAAATTCTTTATATATTACCTTCTTTTAAATTACAATCAGAGCATCCGTCTGGAGCAAGTATGATTTGAAAATCTAAAGATTTTGAACATCTAGAAGTAGATAGGAGAACACTTTTCTTAGACATGAACTAAACATTAGAGAGAAATTTAATGAGAGAAATTTTTAGAGAACCTAGAGAAGATTCTAATTAAAACATATCTCCTCAATATATAGGAGTCTTGGAGTCTTGAAATATCTTGAAACGGGAAACCGAAGGATTACCGGATATATATATATATATTATATATAATAATATATATATATATATATATATATATATATATATATATAGGTTCGAATGTTTTTAACAAGTATTGTCTGCACATATGAACCAATAAAAATTTAAGAAATAATAAGTAATTAATTAAATTATTTAAGGGTATAATCGTAATCTTTGCTATATTTAATTATGGTAAATAATTAAAATATTTATTATCTTTTAAACAAGGAAAATCAAAGTCAAACCCATATATTAAGGAACAAACCCTACGCCTAATTATCACAGTCGATACACATATTCACCTATCATCGGCAAATGCCGAATACCAGCTCCACATTCATGCCACATTTGCCGTTCATACTCATGATTTTTCTCATTTGGTCCATTTTAAATTTGATAGATTTCTTTATGGAGGGTTTGTTTTATAAGATATTTAGTTTTGAAGATGGTGCTTTTTGAGGATTTTAAAGTGTCGTATGTCATTTCGGATCTTCAAATGTTTTTGAAGATAATAAATGTAAATATTCTTCTTCTTCCCATCCAGGTAATTGATTTTTAACTTCTAGTCAAATTACTTATAATCAAATTACTTTATAGATATTATCACCGCCTCTGCTTATGTTTTTTTTATATATTCATAAAAACTAATTCCAAGTACGTAATTGATTTTTTATATATTCGTAAGAATCAATTTTAATTATTAACTGGTTATGTTTTTTATGGGTTGAAGAATTACATTCTTAAGTCGATTATTTGGATTAATTTAAAAAATTTATTCTATCAGAATTTTAACAAAATGAATTAATAATATCTACTACATTTTATCAGAATTTATAGTTTTTATTCTTTTAGAATACATTGAATTTTTTAATCTTTGAAAGTTGATTATGCATTTTTTGTGAATTTAGGTTTTGAAGAAGCTGCCATTGATGTGGAGAAGAATGAAAACAATGTAGAACAAGAGTATTCTAACAGAATGTATTCTACCGAATGTATAAAATGTTTCTTAACAATAATATTTTTTCATAATGGATTAATGTTTTTATTAGATTTTGATGTTTTTTTTAACTATTCTTAGTTTTAATCTCTAAGAATATGTATGAATTTGTATTTAAGTTCGATGTATAAGAATATATTAGAATGTTGTTATTTTTTAACCTCGGATTTAATAATTTTGTTATTTTTCAATAGTATTCTAATAGAATAAAATTCTGAAAAACATCATTCTAACAAAAAAATATTCTGACAAAATAAAATCGATTATTTTTACAAATTACGTTAGAATTAAAATTGAATTAATTAAAAAAAATTAGATTTTTAAAATTAGGAGAATTAATTATCCCTAGAAATCCGAAAATTTCCTTTTATAATTGTAGTTAATTGTCCAAAATACCATTTTGCTAAATTTTGTGTGATTATATGGTACATGTTATCCCATTGTAATATCATAGACCCTCATATTATTACATTTGATTATATTCCATCCGATGGTCCAGATCTGTGCATTCTGGCACACAATAGTTAGTAGAAACAAAATAACCTAACCCTATATATATATATATATATATATATATATATATATATATAGATATATATATATATACTTCTATATATATATATATATATATATATATAATATATATATATATACTAGCCGTTTACCCGCGCCAAGCGACGGGTGCGTATAGTTTTTTCATAATTTTTTTCTAGAGGCGATTAGTTCTTTTATGCAAATAGTTTACTACATTTAAACAATTATCCATAAGAGTAATGTTAGCATAAACGAAATCAATAACAATTCAAAATATTAAAAAAAAATTAAAAGTTGGATTCTTTACAAATGTACGAATATATGATTGATTATGCATTCTTAATCGTTCAACACTTCTTTATACACCACATTTGATGTATAGACTTGACTGTCATTGAATTGTTCGCCAAGGTTCACTTATACTTCTATGTTATCACGTGATATCCCTCTTGATAATACGACATAAAGTTGGTAATGCGAATAGTTAGTTTTAGAAATTATTTTTCATTCGGAAACATGTTATATTTCAAAGAAAACAAGTTACTTTTCGTTGAATCGTTTCCTTTCGGTGTTTATTTGTCATTCAGAAATATCTATTTATTTGTCGATTTGGATTAAAAGTAGAAGTATGTTGATGATTTTTATTTAAAAAATAGAATGTTGTTATGGATTAAAAATAAATGTACAATGTTCTTTTTATATAAATGTACATTGTTGATTACAAACCCGATTAAATTTTTGTTTTTTCAATATAGTTATGATTTATGTTTTTTTTTGTTATAACACACGGGTAACGGATAAATCGACGCCTAGGGGGACACCCTTAATTGGTCTAGGAGGTGGATTGTGGTCAAGCGACTAATCGACGTTTAGACGGAGATCCTTGATAAAAATAGAAAATGAAAGTAAGATGCTATAATAAACAATTTTCTTTGATGAATTTAAGATAGCAAACTCCTAAAATAATATTATGCTCCCATGAAAAGCATTAAAATATGAAAACTTTGAGCGACAAAAGCTTAACAAACATGATGTGAATGAAAGTTTAGATATTTAAAATTAATTCATGTGTACATTAGGAGGTTTGATACCCGTCCTTTGGAAAATATCTAGTCATATAGTCACACATTCACACAGTCACATACACACAGTCACACACACATATAGCATACCATTAGACATGAACTGTCAAATCAAACTGTAAGGGCTCTTCAGATTCGTGATTTATGAAGAATAGATATCAAAATACTTTAAGATGTCTTCCATATAAAAATTATATCAAAACTTACATAAATAATAATGTGTGCAAATATTACTTAAAATAAACACTATAACGTTCATAATAGCAATATAGTGCACATACAATATATACAAATTAATAAAAGATGATTGATTGCTTGATTAGCTTCTTGAATTTGTACTTATTCATAAAGCAAGAAAGTTCATTGCTTGATTAGTTTTATTATTATCCGGAAATGAGTAATATATGAGTTTCATTGTTATCTTTGAGTATCTACATACAAATAAATTGACTTGACTGGTCTACAAATCCAATCTTCCAAATCCAATATAAGTAGGGATATAATAGATTCCAATGAAATAAATGTTGTCGCACAAACTACATAATTATCAATTAGGCTCAATTCATTTTAAACTACATAGTTATCAATTAGGCTCAATTCATTGTGGGTGGGGGTATAATTAGAACTGTCAATAGGGCGGGTTTGGAGCAAATCGACCTTGATCCAAACCCATTTAACAAATTTCAAAATCCAATCCAAACCCGCTTCGTAACCCGCATGGTTTTGAATAATCAAACCCATACCCTTATCCACCGAATCAATAGACATCCAAACCCGCTCCATAACCCGTAGGTCTTTTGAATAATCAAACAAAAATGTTTATTTAGAAAACGCATTACATACTCGAGGACTTTCTATTGGAATTAAATTCACTATTGTAGTAACTTCCGATTGATTTTTGAATGTCGAATGCGGTGATAGAGAATAACAATTACAAACTTTCTTCCGGTTGATAATGACTTTATTGATTTATAAATGAAATTGGTGATTGCTTCATGAACTATTAATGAAATGATACCATGATTCTTGTTAATAGACCATCTAGAAGTTGTCTCCTCGAATCCTATAAAAAATAGTTTGGCATTTGGCTTTTTCCCTTTGGACTTTTGATTATAATTAAAATTAAACTTTAGACATGATAAAATATAAACATATATTTCTAAAATTTATACGAAGCGGGTTATAAACGGATCGGATCGGTGATGATCCATACCCGACCCTTGTAATAAAAGGGTTAGCGGGTACGGGTCGTTAACGGGTAAACGAATCAAAAAGTATGCTCCAAACCCATATAATTCTTAAGGATTTGGATCGGATCAGGGTCAAAACCTGCTCCATTGCCAGGCCTAGGTATAATTGGTTAAAACCAAACTATTTAAAAAAAATGTTTTCTTTTTTATTGGTTTTTTTTTTTGCAATTAAAAGATAACCGGTTTTTATCAGTATTTTTAGGCTTCAAGGGGATAATATGTCTAACCAGTTTCGGTTATAGATTAACTGGGTTTTTTAAAAACCAGTTTCCTTTAAAGTTGATAAAAGGTTGGTTCAGGTCAATGGGTTTAGAAACTTGATAATAAAAAGAGGCAAATGTATCAGATACACTAAGATACACTATACACTAACTGGAAAATTGAAAATATATCAGAAGTAAACACATCTCATCTTGGAAAATCAAATTCAAATGAAGATCTTCAAATTTAATATCATATATCTAAAATATCCAAAGGGTTTACATAAATTAAGCTTCTTATAACTTGACACCACTGTTATTGATAAAAGGCTCGATTCTGCAAGTTTAGAATAAGACAAAGGGATGAAATCTGCATGTTCAGAATCATACAAAGGGTATGATACTAATTTCATATAATTTTTTTTTATAAAATCAATTGCATTTTAGACATAAATATCATTTTTATATAAAATGTCAAAGGGGTCAGATCACTCTTACCATGAAATAGAAAAACTCATATTTAAGGTGTGTGGTGTCCAAACCATCTTCATTTAATCTCATAACCTGATGACACATGTATATTATTCTGGTTAACAAATTTAAATCTCCAAATGAAATGATCAAATTACATAAAAAATCCTACAAATTAACAAAAAAACCATGAAATCTTTTATTGAAAACACAAGAATGTATGTAATTATTTGGTGGGGGTTGTTCAAGGAGCCATCTTCCTCTTTTCTTTCATGTGCTTTATCTGCACAATAAGAGCAAACCAATATTAGTATGATTATTCTATAATACAAAGTATGATACCATGATGCAAAGTAGGATGAAATTCACAACATAGATAACCATATACATACATATAGCCATAGCCACAGCCAAATACAGAACCACATACACAATTACACACACACAACCATGACCATAACCACACACATACACATATATAATATGAAATAGTAATGTTTAAAAGTAGGATGGAATATTTTTTTAAGTGTTATAAGAAAAAAAGTGATCTTAACTTCTTAACGGTGGATGGTGGTGTTTACCATAATAGACTTTAGGATAGTGGTGTTTAGCGGGAATGGATTTTGGGTTTATTTGGGTCAATTATACATAAATAAACATGGACCAGGTTTTGAATGGATAACAGATGGTGGGAGGGAGAAACAACTGATGATGATGGTTGTGTGTGTGTGTGTGTGTGATAAGAAGCTACCCAGCCCACACTTTCATCCCACCTCGCACAAAAGACAAATACACCAATATCATGAATTCTTTTAGCAATTATTGAGAACCAGTTTTAAACATTTCTAATTTTTAGTGTTTTGATTATAATACGTGTTCCTGGCCATGGTTTTCTTCTAAAACCAATCAAATGCAGCAAAACACATAAAGCATATACACATAAGAGAACCATAACCAAATATCATATTGGTAGCATGTGTGAAGGTGATATTTTTTCCATTTGCAGAAAAATACTGAAAATAAAGGAGCACAGTTTGAGAATTTGACCATCCATTTATGTTATGAACATATATGAGATAACAAAAAAAAAAAAAAAAAAACCGAGTTTTTTTGAGCAAATCAGGGATGATGGAGCATAACATTTTGATGTTTTTAGCATGATCTCCTGCTGTTTTTTATACCTAAACTAAAAAATTATAGTTGACAAGAAGATGACACAAATCAGTAGAAAATAATAAGAGAAGATAATGAAGGGAACTTACTTTTTTTATTGGAATCAGAACTAAACTTACAGAACCTATAGAAATTCATTACTCTGATAAACAAATCGAGTTTCTTCTAAAAACTCCCCAAATCAAATCAAACACCTAGCAGTCTAAACCTAATGGAATCAAAAAGACAAAACGAACATGTGAGAATGAGACATGAATAAGAAGCGACAACAACAGCAGCGAGTGGAAAATAAGATTAGATGCGAGGAGAGAGAGCCAAGATTCTTGTTGTACTTACCTATGTTCAAATGTTAAAGAAGTTTTTTTCACTTACTTCTGTAAATCAAAAGAGGAACATAGATGGTTATGTGGTTTTCTGGTGACGGTGAAAGTGGTCCGACCAGCCGCAGTCAGCAGGGTGGGGCTAGGGTTTTCAGTAGGATGAAGGAGGCAAATTGTAGACTTCATGAATGATACATATAAAAAATTAGAAGCATGATTATTAAGAGAAAAAAGAAGACAAACCCGGTAAATTGGAAGGTACTTTGAACCTGGTTGGGATGATTCTGCTGATTTCTCCACCAATCACACTTTCAACTCTAAAAAAAAAAAACACAAAGTGAAATCAGAAACAGATATCCACATAGATGGAAGAAGATTAACTTTTTAAGTGGATCGAGAGTAAAAGCGATGGAACTGCAATGAGAACAGGGTTTCTTTCTCTGTGATTTAACGACCACACATACATAAAAGAAGAATAAGGTTCTCGTGTCACTTCTCCAATGAGAAATGTCGACACTTGTGCAAGAATCCAAAAATCGAGACAAAACTTAAAAAAAAAAATATAAACTTAGGGCTAGAAAACATAAATTGATTAGGGCTCTTACCTTGTACTACCGAACATGACATTGTTGTCGATATTTCAACCACAACCACCTGAAGTGACGCAGAGGACGATGCTGGAGTGGCATGGCGGCGCTAGAGTGGGTGTCGCTGACTTGGTTCCGGTGGCGCTTAGTGGTGGTCGTGGTAGCGGTGGTGGGTTGCGCTTAATGGTATGGAGATGGAGTCGGAGAGAGAGTTGAGGGGTAGGAGAGAAACAAGTGGTCATATTGAAGGGTGTGCGGTAACCCAGTTCGTCGTGAATTCGAAAGTACAAAGGAGATAGGCGGAGGTATAACACTATAGAGCAAAGGAAATGACAACATAATGGGGAGTTTGTTGGACGGGATAGGAAATGGCGACCAAGTAAAAAAGCTAAGTCAAACAACGGATTATGTTCCTTGACTTTTTCAACACCAAATAAGGTTTTATATGATGTTTTAAGGATAGTACCTCTTAAAATTCAGCAAAACATGCTAAATGCTTATTAAGCTATATATATATATATATATATATATATATATATATATATATATATATATTTCAGCAAATTGTTTACGTTATGATCTATGATAGGTGATTTATTTTGTTAAACAAAATATAAGAAATTGACATGTGAAATTGACAAAAAGCAACGTTGTGCTGATTTATTTGCAAATATTAAAAAAACGATTTTTTTTAAAAAAGCAAATGGGTTATTAATTAGGGAGAGTAGAAGAATGGAAGAATTGGCATGTGGTTAACCCACCCTCACCAAAAAAAGCGCGTCGCATACTGAAAAACAGCACCCATTCTTTTTAAAGTCAATAAACACAGACTCGCTTCAATAATCGAATAGAGATTAATCTGTGGATCACTCTACACCTTTGAGTGCTACTTCACCAATCTCTCCTAACTTTTCCCCTCTTCATATCCCCCAAACCTCCCCACGCAGCTTAATATCCAGCATTGCATTTGGGTTGGGAGATTTGAAGCACGACAGCAGGATACATATTCATCATCAATTCAATTCAATTTGTGCGGTAAGCTTATGTTTTGAACTATTTTCTAGCATTGATCTAGTATTTGGTACACTTGATTAGGGTTTTACCATTAATTTTATCAACTAAGTTCCGATCCTGTATATATGTACCTGTTTATGTTTGTGAAATCAGGGACAAGTTTCTAGCATTTTGAACAGATCATGGAATTTGGAGTAAAATTTTGAATTGTTTGGGCTCTTGCGAACAATTTGATTGTGCTATAGATCTATTGATACCTAATGGTTGTGGGGGTTATGAATCGAAATGTGAGCTACCAAATTTGAATCACTAACTATGTTTCATAAGAAACTTATCTAATCCATATACGTAGTAAAAGTGAGAGATCTCTATCATTAATTAGGTAAGGAATTTGAAAATTCTAGTAAAGTTATGTAATTTAGGGCTTTTGTTCGTCTTCTCGATTGATTTGATTGTGGATTCATGGTGTAGATCTCTATAAAACACCTAAGCTCGGGCTAGTAGGAATTGAAATGTCAAGATCTAGATGAGATTGGGCTTGCATTCATATGGGCTCATGAATGAAAATCCAATGTCCTATAGGCTATAGGGAAACTTGTATCATTTGGTTTGCTGATCCAAAGATAGATATAGAAGCATAGATAAGTTACCTTCTTTTTGTAGATGCCATACCACTGGTATTAAATTTAAAACCATCAATGTTGACAGATGGCTTTCGGTGGTTTTGTATTCTACTGCCTAGTGTCACGTTTTATCGGTTGTGCTTGTATTATATATATTGAGTTGGATCTAAAAACATAGCACCATAGAGGCAAAATTCAGAAGGTTTGATACAACTCATGATTGTTGCATACTCTTTGATTTTACTGATATTACATATCTTGATAATCTGTGTACATTACATTATATATGGTTGTTGTTGTCTTTATTTTATTGTATTTCTTTTATGATGTTTGGTGGCAGTAAGAGATAGATAGAGGATGGCTTTGAATTTGAGAAAACCTGGTTTGATTGCTTTGTTTGATGTTGATGGCACTCTTACTGCTGCACGCAAGGTACACCTTACTATTTCTTACTATCTTAACTGCATTTAAAGACTCTAATAAGTTTTATTTTCCTTATGGAGATTGTTATTTTGTTGAAATTAGTTTAGATTATAGAATTATTGTTTCTTTGGCTTTACTTGTAATTAGTTTACAGTTTTTGCTTCAAAATTGCAGGGGATTACTCCAAATATGTTGAAATTCATGCAGGATTTGCGCAAGGTACATGAGTTTTATTGTTTGATTGATATGTTCTTTCTCTCACATTATTTCATTGTCTTGAGTTTTTTTTTTATTTTTTAATTTTTTTTTACAGGTTGTTACTGTTGGGATTGTTGGAGGATCTGACCTCGTTAAGATATCAGAACAGCTAGGGTCAACAGGTCAACTACAATATCTTTCTCTACATATATGTTTTCCCTCATTCCATATAGGCAGCTTATAAAAATATGGGTATTTGGTGCATAGATTGAAGAGGCTCTTAGATTCGAGTTCTTGAAGTCAACCTTTATAAAAATCTTTGATACGATGTTTATTCAACAATTCATTCTTTATTATGAAAAAATTCGTTTACTCTTTTGATGGCTGCTTTTAGTAACATATTTTTAATTTTTAATTTTTTTTTTGTTCCATATGAATTAAAAATGTAGCTCCAATGTGTATGCAGTAATTAATGACTATGATTATGTGTTTGCTGAGAACGGGCTTGTGGCCTACAAGGAAGGAAAGCTACTTGGAAAACAGGTGGTATTATATTCAATCGTCAGAATTTCAGTTGAAATATTATACAAATTACATTATTTAGACATAAGTTTCCCTCACTAACCCTTGAAAAGCTGAGGAGCTTTGGTTCTCCTTATGTACCTTTTTGTAATTTAACTGATCAATTTTCCCTGACGTGTTTTCTCTTTACAGAGCTTGAAGACTCATCTAGGGGATGAAAATATCAAGGTAAAAAAGAGTTTTTTTTTTATGGATCCACAAAGTGTTTTTAGCAATTTAGGGGGTGTTTGGATTATTGCCTTTTGAAGAATCAAAATTAGATAATTAGATGCTCAGTTAATCACTTGATTGAAGATTACATGTTTTTTTTTTTTTTTTTACTTGCCTCTCCAAATATGATATTTTGACCTTAAATAATTAAAAAAAAAACACTTAAATCTAAGTATTGTGATTTCAAGGTGTAATGTAATCAGTTTCAACACACATCTAAAATCTAAAGTCTATATTGTTAATAACTAAACATACATGGTATGAATATGATGCAGGAGTTTGTCAATTTTACCCTTCATTACCTTGCTGATTTAGATATCCCGATAAAAAGGTGAGTTAAAACCTAAAATCTTGCAACAAATTGTCATCTTTTTATAGCATCTTTATAGAGACTCTTAATTTTAGGGGAACTTTTATCGAGTTTCGAAGTGGGATGATCAATGTGTCGCCAATTGGCCGAAACTGCAGTCAAGAAGAACGTGATGAATTTGAGAAGTATGATAAGGTACAAAATCTTCTTATTCCTTTCCAACAATAATCTATATTTTCAAAATTGGTTGTTATTTCCCGATTATGCTTTTGATAATAAATTAAATATTGTAATTTAGGTTCATAATATACGTGCAAAAATGGTGGAAGTTCTTCGAGAGAAGTTTGCTCATCTTAACTTAACCTTTTCAATTGGTGGCCAAATTAGCTTTGATGTAAGTAGCTTCTTTCTTACACATGAAGACATTATTTATTTATATCTTTATTTAATAAATTTTTTTTTTTTTTTGAAAAATGCTTTTGATATAGGCTTTCCCTCAAGGTTGGGACAAAACTTATTGCTTGAAATACTTGGATGAATTTGAAGAGATTCACTTCTTTGGAGATAAGACTTACAAGGTATATAAAAAATAATCTCTTTTTTTTTTTTTTTTGGTGTTTTAGAGTACTACTATACATTTCACGTATAATCTTCATTAACTTTTTGGATTAGGGGGGAAATGATCATGAGATTTATGAATCTGCACGAACTCTTGGTCACACAGGTTAGCTTCATTTACAATTTTTAATTTTTAATATATCATATATAGTTTAAAGAAAGTGTTTGACTAGTGAAATATCTAAAACACCCTTAGTTTTTCAAACTTAAAGATTCTTGTGAAGTCAACTCAAATGATACAATTAATTTACTTCTACTACCAATGATGGGCAAATAAGTAATTTAACTTATCAAACCGTTTGTTCTTTGCTTTTTTCAGTTACGAGCCCTGATGATACTGTTAAACAATGTACTAGCCTATTTGTCAACAACAAAGTTTGAGTGAAGGGGACAAACATGTAATTTTGGTTTTTGTGAAGCTGTTTTAGGAAGCCAAGTCCTAATATGTTGTAATCTTTTTGCTTCATAGAGATCTTCTACATTTTATATATTTGGTTTTCGTAATTATATATGAAATTTAAAATATGATGAATGCATTTGGTATTAAAGAGATGTTTGGTTTGCAGAATGTTTTTGAAGTTTAAAATTCAAGTGTCATTATTTAATGATGATATAAAATATGATTTTGATTATTGAATATTCGATATATGATATTGTAACAAAAGCACATATTACATTTCATTTTCACTTGCTATTTAGGATTTAAGATGACAAATATATCAAGTCCATCATGTTCACCTGTTATATGATCTTGTAAAAAACTAAAAACCCATAATTTTTTTATCCATCAATTTTATATACCTATTTTGTTACATCAGACTCTATATGCAAGAATAAATAATTTATCAAATCCATCATATTCGTTGGAAGTTTTTTTTTTACACATTTTGACGTACTATATTAAATTTGAGAGCGGGTTTTTGTTTCATTAATTGTTAAATAAAAATTAATAATTAGAGTTGGAAAAAGATTTTTAGATTTGCAAAAATACATCATGAACATATTATGACCATTTGTTCAATAAGTGAAAAGTATTGAAAATGAAATTTATTTTCGTAACACTGAGATTTACTTTTTTTTTTAACGGAAAAATTATATTAATAAAACAACAATGGAAAGCTTGCAGAATATGTTAAACTATATTTTTATTAAATAAATGGCTAAACATATATTAGTTGATATTTAATATCATTACCTTTCTTATTATTATATATACATAAACATTGTAATTCAACTTTTAAAAAGCGAAAAAAAAAACTTTGTGAAATAGAAGTTTATATATAAAAATAACATGTTTTTCTTATTGATTTGTTTTTTACATGACCACTCTCATTTTTCCTATTACAGAATATTGCACTTTACGGCCCAATTAAAGCAATATAGTTCAAATGCAAAGCAAGTTTAATTACTACAACTTGGTATACTTTTAATTATGTCCTAATAACATAAAATTTTTGAAAATATAATTTTATAATTAACTAGATGTTTTAGAAATACAATGTTTTAATAAAAAAAAAAATTAAAAGTACAATATACAAATAAATGAAAGTAGATTGCTAATTTTTGCATTTAGCCAAAAAATAAATTAAAGAAAACATCATAAATGGTCCCTGTGGTTTCCCAAAATCTGAAGTTTAATCCCCATGGTTTAAAAACATCATAGATGGTCCTTGTGGTTTCAAAACTTTTGACGATTGGTCCTTATTGCTAACTCTGTTAAGTTTTGTCTGTTAACTAAAGGGCATTTTCGTCATTTCACTACCACAAACCTGATGTTTTTGGTTATTTAAAAAAAACTAAATATAATTATTTAATATATAAATGCGTCTCTCTCTCTCTCTCTGCAACTCGATTCCTTCCCCAAACCATGTTGCTGCCATTTCCGATAAACCATTTCTTTCCGTCAATGGCAAATTGAAACTTCAGTGGTCATCAGATAAACCTTACTCTTTAATCACCACTGCCCCTGATTTCTCCTCCTCCCACGAACCAAGAAAGTTCCAAATAATGATCATGGAAACGAAGATATGTGAAAGTTTTCATAACCTAAAGTTTATTGATTACAATCAACCCAGAACCAGATACGAGAAATAAAGAGAAGAAAATAAGCAAAAAATTGACTTTCTTTAATGCCTGCTTGTACCAGTCTTGCTTGCAATCAAACACGTAATGGGAACGAGACTCAACCTCTTCACCAACGAAGATGGATGCGAAGCAATATGGGAAATACGTCAGAGATGTAGAATCAATTTGAGTTCTGATTTTAGGGTTCTAGATTCGATTTCAGTTCTGATTTTAGGGTTCTAGAATCGACTTCAACCTCATAACACACAGATGTAGCGTTAGATATGGAGGTCTTCATACTCAAAAACCCTTTTGTACATGTTCGTTTATGGTCGTCGGAATCCAATCGAAACCCTAGCAGCTTCTCGCACCAGAGATAGGGGTTTAAAGGGTACGGTGCAAATGGTTTTTGGAGTATTTTCTGCTGGTATATAAACAAGCTACATGATGATGAAGATGGTGGCATGTAACCGAAGAAGTCGGAGATGAAGACGATTTTGAAGATGCAACAATATATGGTTATGTTCTTGATTTTTTGGGACAAACAAACATCGGGAGGTGGGGGATTTCATAGGAAAAGATGAAATGGTCGACATTCCTGGTCTCACACACACAGAGAGACACAGAGAGAGAGAGGGCATTTATATATTAAATATTTATATTTAGTTTTTTTTTAAATAACCAAAAACACCGTAAATGGTCCTGTGGTAGTGAAATGACGAAAATGCCATTTAATTAGCGGACAAAACTTAACGGAGTTAGCAATAAGGACCAATTGTTAAAAGTTTTGAAACCACAGGGACCATCTATGACGTTTTTAAACCACGGGGATTAAACTTCAGATTTTGGGAAACCATAAGGACCATTTATGATGTTTTTTCTAAATTAAATATGATTAAATTCCATAAAAACTATTATAATTTGTTTTTTTTAACCACCATTTTTTTGTTTACGTATTAACCTCTAAGAATTTGTTTATTTTTTATTCACAGTAAAATGTTTTTCAACAATGAATTGCAAAAAAAACCATTGAAACACTGTTTATTTATTTATTTAAATAGAAATTAAAGTTTTATACACTGATTTTCAGAGAAAAAAAATCAATATATAATTGTTCAAATAAGAAAATATTTAATACCTAAGAGTATCTACATGGCATCTTGCAAATGCATTGCAAGTAAATTTTGAAAGTGGAACCAATTTTGTTTTCATGGCAAAACTTTTCTTTATTTTCTTTTTTATGTTTAGCATAATAACTATACATTATATCATAATATTAAATTCATTAAATTTATTAAATTTAAAACGATATACTTTTATGTTTAACTATTAGCTTATTTTAGATTTTTAATTAAAATATTTATAATTAATTTTTATATTATAAAATGAATTAAAACAAGTTAGTGGCATAGTATTAAAATGTATATAAAATATTTCATAATAAATTGACATTATTTGTTTGTACAATAAGACATTAATTTTTTTTTCTATCTAAATTAATATATTTATAATATTTTATTGAATATATATTAAATATATTTATAATATTTTATTGAATATATATTAAATATAAACTAGTAATTAATATATTGTTAAAATGTGTAGGTTAATATTTAAGATGTATGTTAAAATGGAAATGAGGTCCTACAAGACTTTTTGACATCCCTAGATGTAGAAGTAATTGTAAAAGTTACGTGACAAATTTAAAAGATGAATGATAGTTAAGATTATATTTGACATTCCATTAGGATAGATGACCTAAAAGTTACAAACTAATGTTGTTATTGGAAATATACGACTCTCTCGATTAAAAATTAAAAAGTCATAGTTTCAAGTATCGTTTGAAATAATAGTTAAGATATATTAGTTTACCTTTAAAAAAAACAAAACATGTTGTCATTGGAATTTGGCGTAAAAAATCGTTAATCGTTAATTAGCAATAAATTCAGGGGTGAAAACTTTCATGTAATTTTTGTTAATTTTCATTAAGAGACTATAAATAGTGTTCTAGTTAGAGTGTTGATCATAGCCTTGATTCTGCTTGATCATCGGTCGGAGACTGTGAAGTAGAAAGCAGAATCTCACTGCAACCGAAATCTATGGGCGACGATTATAAACCAGTAACTATTCTCCTTGATTTTATTTTAATCAGCCTCCTTCTTCTGGAATCCCTCAGTTTTTCCATTTGTTCCACTTTTATCATGATTTATGCATTAATCAGTGATTACAGTTTCCAGAATGGATTCCAGTTCTTCTTTATATTCAGTACGGTGTAGATTTGGGAAAATTTAGTTGAATCCATGTATGTCTGTAGTTATCTATATATGTTTTGATTCTACAATCCTATGTGTACGTCTCAGTTTAGATTGTAATTTACGAATGGAAACTATTTGTTTGTGATTCTCTGTGGAAGCGTTTGTATGTACTTCATCTGAATTTTTGCAGAATTGAACAAAATCCGATCAACTAAGAGCAATATTGTTTGGAAACAGTTGCTATAGATTCCATGACTTGCAATCTATGTAAATTTAGATATCATTACCTATAATACTCAATTGATTACTTCTTTAAATAATCACTACCTCGTATACCATGATCTAATACAGCTGAAATATCTATAATCACTTTCAAAACGCATTTACCTCCTTTTAAGTAATACAAGTCCACTTGGATATTGCAGTTGTCTGAGGAATACATCAATATTGGTGAGCCAGAGACTCATAACTGTGTGATCAAGCTGGTTAGTAGACTTCATAAACCCTTTCCTTGTTCTTGTATTTATTTTTGTTGGTGATTTAGGTAAAATATGATCTTAATTATAATTTGTTTGAATAAGTTCATATGAACCAATGGATAAACTCTATGGTATTATTGTACTGCAGAGAGTAAGCCCTACGAAGCGTAGGGACAAAGTTTTTGTTGGGTGTGGTGCTGGTTTTGGTGGTGATAGACCATTGGCAGCTCTTAAATTACTTCAAAAAGTCAAACATCTCAACTATCTTGTCCTTGAATGTTTAGCAGAACGCACCCTTGCTGACCGCTACCAAGCGGTGAAGTCAGGCGGTGATGGTTATGACCCTCACAGTAAGTTTTCACATAGAGGGGGGCATTTACGTCTTTTTCATAGAAGAAAGGTCGAGAGTGAGTCCGTGTCCCACCTTTTTGGGTGGGACAAAAGTCAAAAAGTTGAACTTTTGTCGGTTGACATCGGTCTCAGTCCCAGTCCAATGCATGCCAAACACAGTACAACCTGTTCTGTTCTGTCTTGTCTTGCATAACAAATGGGGACTTATTGATCTGTGTATATGCAGTTTCAGAGTGGATGGAGTTGCTCCTTCCATTGGCTGTTGAGAGAGGAGTCTGCATTATTACCAACATGGGTGCAAGTAAGCAACATATTCTTAACATCTTTTTATGCAGGGTCCTCATATTTTCGCTTGTTTAAATGTATTGTTTTTTTGGAAGCAAATGCATTGGGTGCTCAGGAAAAGGTTTTGGAAATTGCAAGCAGAATGGGAATCAGGGTTACTGTGGGTGTAGCTCACCAATTTGACATTGCCAAAGCAGGTATCAATCATGTTATTCTTATAACTAAATTTATGAAGTTGACCTCATTTTTAGCTGTGTCAAACTTTGACCTTGTGTTTTGGTTTTCCATACATATCCAGGTCTTGGTGCTAATCTGAGAAATTTGAATGATGTAAGCATGTGCTTTTCTGTATTTCCATAACTGTTTAGTAGCTAGATTGATAAAATGGTATCAGCATATTAAACTTTAGCAATGATTTTTTCATTTTTAGGGTGTAAGTATATATCTAGGAGCAGCTCCAATTGTGGAGTGTCTTGAGAAGTACAATCCCAATGTTGTCATCACTTCCCGTGTTGCTGATGCTGCCTTATTTCTAGCTCCGATGGTAAAAACTCATCTTTTCTTCTATTTCTATATATAAAAATAAAATCCCTATCTAGAAACTTCCAACAAAGTGTAAAATCATTGATCTTTAATCTTTATTGGTGTACTATTATTACAAGGTTTATGAACTAGGTTGGAACTGGGATGAATACATGTTATTAGCCCAGGGCTCTTTAGCTGGACACCTTCTAGAATGTGGGTGTCAACTCACTGGAGGGTACTTTATGCATCCAGGTGATATAATTATATTAATAAATACAACTTTGGCTTTTTTGGTCATGGTCAAACCTAATAGTATTTTTTATTATTTTGTGATTGCAGGAGACAAATATAGAGACATGCCTTTAGAGAAGCTTCTAGATTTGTCCCTTCCTTTTGCTGAAGTTAGTTATGAAGGTAAAGTGTGTGTAGCAAAGGCAGAAGGGAGTGGTGGGGTGTTAAATTTCAGTACTTGTGCTCAACAGCTTCTTTATGAGATTGGGGATCCAAGTGCTTATATTACCCCAGATGTGGTGAGTCACTCAGTGCTTAAAATTCATAATTACGATTTTGGTCCCTGAGTAGAGCAGTTGATTTTTTGCAATTTTTGTCCCAAAAACTTATCTCTTGCAGCTTCAGTTTTTGTCCCTGTTCCAAGAAAATGACTGTATATTTCATATTTAGGATCAAATTTGTAAAAATCGGCTATACTCAGGGACCAGAAATAGTCATTTTACTCGGATCAATGATAAAAAAAACGTTACAAGAACTTCAAATAAGGACAAAAGTTGCAAGTGAAAACTTTTTAGAATCAGAATTTCAAAAATAAAAAACTATACTCACGAGACCAAAAATGTAAATTAATCTAATTTCAAAAATATTAAGATTAGTTTTACACTATTTTAAAGCAGGGGCGGACCCAAGAATTTTCCGAAGAGGGGGCAATTTTTTTTATAAATTTTTTATGGGGGGAAAATTTTTTTGATGAGTCAAAATATATAATTTTGAAGGGTTAAAAAATATTTTTTTTGAAGAAAAAACTCTATTTTTTTTTTGTTGTGGGGGCAATTGCCCCCACTCTAGGACCGCCCATGTTTTAAAGTATGGTTTTTTTTTAATCAGGTGATAGATTTTCGAGACGTTTCATTCCAGCCATTGTCAACCAATAAAATTGGTTGTGATGGAGCAAAACCTGATGCAATATCTGCACCTGATAATCTTTTAGCATTAGGTTCAAAGGTATTACTATTTATTTCACGATGTAAATTTAGTTTCATGTTGAAAATTTAATCTTTTATTTGTTCTAATGAAGCACTGTGGATGGAAAGGATGGGGAGAGATATCGTATGGTGGATATAAATGTATTGAACGAGCTAAGGCTGCTGAATTTTTGGTAACAATCCTGTATTTATTATTAGAGTAAATTACACTTTTGATCCTTGAGTATAGCTGCTCTTTGCAATTTTCGTCCCAACAAGTTTTCTCTTGCAAATTTGGTCCTCATTTGAGGTCTTGTAATGCATTTGGTCCCTCTTCCAGGTTAAATGACTATTTTTGGTCCTTGAGTATAGCTTATTTTTGTAATTTTGATCAACATAGCAAGAGAAAAAAAAATTGGGACCAAAATTGCAAAAATTCAGATATACTCAGGGACCAAAAATGTAATTTAATCTAAGCATGTGTTATCATTTTGATTTGATAGGTGAGATCATGGATGGAAGAAGTACATCCTGGTAGTAGTAAGTGTATAATGTCTTATATAATCGGAGTTGACAGCCTCAAGGCAAAGGCAATTAGGCTTGAAAATATTCCAAGGGCTTTTGATTGTGAAGACATACGGTTGAGAATGGATGGATTATTTGATGAAGAGAAACATGCTATTCAATTCACCAAAGACTTCATAGCTTTGTACACAAATGGGCCCGCAGGTGGCGGTGGTATTAGGTCTGTCTGGATAAAGTGTTGTCTGTCTGCTTGAATAAATGATTTTTATAAAAATAAAATAGAAAATGACCGCATACCTACTTGGGGAAATAAAAGGAAAGAAATAAACGAGGGCAAATTTGTAAAAAAGTTAGGACTTATATTAATACCCTTTCTGCTTAGCTTACAATCTTGTATTTTGAAATGCAGCACCGAACACAAGAAAGAGATCATTCTTGACAAAGGATTGGTATGTAACAGCTTGTTCTTATCTAACAATAAGTTGTCACAATATTTTATTTTAAGTGATCTAAATTTTGGTTCCTGAGTATAGCTGATTTTTGCAATTTTGATCCTTGTTACAAGTAAAATGACTATATATTTGGGACCAAATTTGCAAAAATCAGCTAAACTCAGGTTCTCCTTGGAATAGGGACTAAAAAAGTAAAAGGAACCTCATTTTGAGGACCAAAATCACAAAAAAAAAAGTTATACTTAGGGATCAAAATTGTAATCTTTTATTTATACGAGAGTAAGGTTGTGTTTGGCGCGTCACAGCTAGCTGAAATGCTAGCTTATTTTTCAAGCTTTTTTAAGTTATCGTGTTTGGCAAGTCAAAAAGTAGCTTATAAGTAGCTTTTTAAAAAGCTACTTAGGCTATGTTTGGCGTACTAGCTGAAAAGCTAACTGTTAACTGAAAAGCTAGCTGATAGTTGAAAATCTATCTGTTATATGAAAAGCTAGCTGGTAGCTGAAAAGCTAGTCTAAGTAGTTTTTTTAAAACGCTAGCTTATAAGCTACTTTTTGGCTTGCCAAACATGACAACTTAGAAAAGCTCGAAAAATAAGCTAGCTTATCAGCTAACTGTGGCGTGCCAAACACAACCTTAGACTAGCTTTTTAAGAGCTTTTTTAAAATTTTCCAAATATACCCCTTTAATTAATAATAATACCACATCCTTTTAAATGTCTTTTTATGTCATTTCATATTTTTCAGCTAGTTTTACCAAACATCATTTTTTATCAGCTATCAGCTAGCTTTTTATTTAACAACTAGCTTTTCAGCTAAGAGCTTGCTTTTCAGCTCGTACACCAAACATAGCCTAAGTTATATTTTTTGTCCCGTTTTTTCATTTTTGATCCCAATGTTGGTCCTTATTTGAGATATTTTATAATGTTTTTGGGCCCGGATCCAAGTAAAATGACTACTTTTGGTCCCCAAGTATAAGCTAATTTTTCAATTTTGGTCTGAAAAATATATTCCTCCTACTTGGAGTTAGGATAGAAAAACGTTACAAAAACCTCGCATAAGGAACAAAATTGCAAAAATCAGCTATACTCAGAGACCAAAAATGTAATTTACCCTTTATTTATTTTTAGGTTGGGCGTGAACATATCTATTGGAAAATCTCCGCAAAGCAAAACCAACCAACAAACTCAAAGAAACGAATCGCCATAATCTCTGAAGAAACAACGCCTTCGAATAATCTAAACGAGTTGGTACCAATATCATCTCTTGGGACCGGGACCCACCTCTCCCCGGCCCCATCAAACCAAAAGGTCCGTTTGTATGACGTGGCACATAGTAGAGCCGGAGACAAAGGTAACGATATAAACTTTTCCATCATCCCACATTTCACAGCGGATATTGAGCGTCTGAAAAACATCATAACGCCAGACTGGGTCAAAACAGTCATCTCGCCTCTTACAAATCGGACGACTGATTTGACCTGGTCAGATGATGACATGGAACTGAGAGACAAATGGGTGGATGAAAATGTTAAGGTGGAGGTCTATGAAGTACGAGGTGTACATTCGTTGAATGTTGTTGTGAGGAATATTCTAGATGGTGGTGTTAATTGTTCAAGGAGAATTGATAGGCATGGTAAAACTATATCGGATCTTATATTGTGTCAAGAAGTTGTTGTGCCACCTTGATGCGACAATGATGTATGTATGTAACTGTAAAATTATCAACATTTATTTTTCATGAGTTTGAGAATATGTATGGGAGTACATTATTTTATATATATCTAAATATTTTATAAAACTCATCTTATATTAATCAAAATCAAAATCATGATACCTAAAATATAATACCAAAAAATATGGTTTTATTTTGTGGCTTAGTTAAATAAAAAATTGATATACAATAATACAAAACAAATATATACAATTTTAAATAATATTTAAATGAAAATGACAGACTCAATTTGATTTAAGAGTTGAGTGATCATTAAAAACATCTTTTATTCAGCCTCAATGTGACGATGGCTTTAAGTCAGAGGGGTGGGGATGTTAATTAGACAGAATTAAGGGATTTGGTGGACAATCACTTCAACAAAATATAATTATGTTCAAGAATACAATTTTGTGATCATTTTGGTTTAATACGATAGATATTAGAGAAAAAAAAAACTCAAATTGTTAATCATAAAGATATATCACACATACCTTTTACTAATAATATTAATTTAAAAGCAATAAAAGCTAGCCACCCTTTTTTATTGCATCAAAATGGAATATTATCCGTGTTTTTCTCAAAATTATGAAAATGTCCAATCACGTGTTAGTGTTTTATGAATTCGATTAGAGTTTAACCCTTGTACCGTTGTAAAAAAATAAAAACAAAACGAATTTTGTGTGATTTGTATTAGTTTTTTGTCTATTCAAAAGGAAAAGAGTCTATTCAATTATTTGACATGGATATTTAAGTGTTTGGTAACCCATTTTTGTTGGGTTGCTTTCTTCTTAATTGTTAAGGTTTTTGATCATTCATTTCGAAAGCAAACCGAAGAAGAAAACACACAAAAGAGAGAGAGAGAGAAGAATCAAAAATGTCATTCACAGGAACTTTAGACAAATGCAAAGCTTGTGACAAGACTGTCTATTTTGTTGATTTATTGAATGTAGATGGAATGACATATCATAAATCATGTTTCAAATGTACCCATTGCAAAGGAACGCTTGTGGTTTGTGTCTTCCATCCTTTAATTTCTTCTTAATTTGTTGTCGAATATTCGGATGACTCGTTTTGTAATGATTTACAACGCATATGGCCCGTTTTAACCTTCATGGAGAATCAATGATTATATATCTCATTATGTTGACACGAGATTGATATAGCTCGTATATATTCGTTGTCATTGAGTAACACGTTTTTATATTGATTTCACATGCGCAACTCATTTCCTCTATCCCTTTAGGAATAACATTTTGTAATGTTAATACAAAATGCGGGTGTTCATATTTTATTAGTATCTAGCTAGTCTTTATGATGAAATTTAGTGTCTTTTAAAAAATACCGTTTGTGGATGCTTGTTTTTATCACTTTTTACCGTTATCATCCGAAGAGTTCTTATTACTACGCTTGTCTTGAAATCAGTAATGGAGTTTGAAATCTATGAAAAGACCAAGTTTATAGATAACTTATTGGAAGGATGAAGATTATTTTTCATAAAAAAGAAAAAGCATATCTTTGGCAGAAAGTTATTAGCGCGTTTATTTTCATTATTTTCATTATTTACCCTATGTTGTATGCTTGCATGAAATGTGTTTTCATGCAAAAAAGGTCATGTATAGTAGAAAGTTATTATGAAATTATAAAAAAAAACATTATTTTTGTATTAATTAATGAATTAATATAACTTGTTTTGGCAGATGAGCAACTACTCCTCCATGGATGGAGTCCTCTATTGCAGGACTCATTTTGAACAACTTTTCAAGGAATCGGGAAATTTTAGCAAGAATTTTCAAACGTGTAAGGTTTTTTCAATATATCTATTTACAAGATTTTTCAATGATCTAACAAAATAGCATGATAAAACCATAAGACCGGACATCTCATAATATATCATCCATAAAAGAGATTGTTTGTTCTATATTGTTATTAGCGACACAAAAACATTTTAAAAAGTCACATTTTAGTTTGAGTTTCTGATGCATAACTCTTATGTGACGCTTTTGGAGGATGTTATATGGGGCTAAACTAATCACTTTGCTTCAATTTTTGCAGCAAAAGCGGAAAAAGATTCACAGGTATATATGTTTAAATATTTTATGGGTACATAAGTTTCTTGTCCTTTTATATATTGTTTTTCAAATAACATTACTGTTGTGATGCAGCCAAAGGCACCACCAAGTAAAGTTTCATCTATGTTCTCTGGAACTATAGACAAATGTAGAGCTTGTAACAAAACCGTTTATCCTCTGGAAAAGGTTTGGACATTATTATTTGTTATTAGTTATGAATTTAAATAGAACATAAGGAATATAGTTACTTTTATTTATGCATTAAAAGTTGCATATTTTATTCGATTTGAATCTTTAATAGAAGGGCATGCATGCAGAGATCAATATTGCTTTACATCATAGGAAAAAATAACCACTATATAACTCGAAAGCTGTATACAACTTTTTTTTGCTAGGGATGATCGAACGATACCATCATACTATATTGATTTGAATCTTATGCATTAAAAGTTGTACATCCGACGACTTTTGTGTAAAGAATATTTACGTCGCATTGGATTTAACTATATTTTAATGTTGGATAAACGACACAACATAGGCCATTTGTAAGAAAACATATACCTGTATATATGTACGTATATAACATTGGAGTTTTAGAAGCATAGGAGAATTACATATCCAAGTTAAGCATAATCATGTTATAATGACTTGTATTTTAAGCATGAAAAATTTGTGCCTTATTCATCACAAACATTATATATAATAAGTTGTACTTCATGCATGCAAAAGGTGACCATGGAAGGAGAACCATACCACAAGTTATGCTTCAAATGTGCTCATGGAGGTTGTCCTCTTACACATGCATCATATGCTGCCCTTGATGGTGTCTTATATTGTAAGCACCATTTTGCTCAACTTTTCATGGAAAAGGGAAATTACTCTCATGTCCTTCAAGCCGCAAACCAAAAACATACTGCTTCCTCATCCGAAGAGCAACCACCAGTAGAAGAAGGTGAACACACCGATGATACCCAATCTGAACCACCACCGGAGGCTGAAGAAGAAAAAGAAGAAGAAAAAGAAAAAGAAAAAGAAAAAGAAGAAGAAGAATCCTAAACAATACATCAAATCATACAACCATACACAACCACGTTTTGGCTAATTTTTGTCATATTGATTGTATATTTAAGAAAAATGTTTCACATTAATTCCTATAGAGGAAATACGAAAAACCCCGAAATTATTTCTTATTTTGTGATTTATTTGATTGTCAAATCTATCATGAGTGTCAATGTATGTATGTTTATACAAACGAATGTGTAAATGTTTTGGAGTTCATGAATTTATGACTTATTTTTAAGAATTCACGTGAATTGGAGCAAAATGTGTATTTTTATACATAAATGTGTAAATGTTTTTACAGTTCTTGATCTTACAACTTATTTTCAAGAATTCATATACATTAGAGTGATGTAGTGCAAATTGCAAAACAATGAACGTACAACAACAATACCTAAGAGTCTCGGGCAAATGCAATAAAGAGGCTTTAGCATTACACCCTCAACAAATGAGTATTTATACATAAATGTGTAAATGTTTTTACAGTTCTTGATCTTACACATGCATATGAACGTTCTTAAGTGCCTTTAAACATTCAAATAAGTCCCTTCAATTTTTTTCATACGAATTCTTTTAAATATGTAAACAAATTTCTCCAAACCTCTAGCTAATTGTTTCCAAACTTTGAAATGCATGTGAACTTATATATCCCTCTCTCTCTCTCTCTCTCTTTTTTTTTTTGGACAACCATATGTAATTGTTGCCAAAACTTATTTCAAAATAATAAAAATGGATACAAGGGAGGAGGGAGTCATTCACATCCAACCCACTCAACCCACTATCACATCAAATTTTTTTTTCTCCATTTTCCCAACCCACTCATACACACGAAAACCCTATATTTTTCAACCCATTCAACCCGCTCAATTAAAAAAATACAAAAAAACTAAGGTACAAGTCTTAATTAGCAATAGAGCTACCGGTGGTACCTCCAAGATACCACTCCATCTTCAGTGTGGTTGGGAGTGGTGGGTTGTTTAATTGGTTTCACTAACCCGTTTCATCCTCTCTCTCTCTCTCTCTCTACTTTTTCTTTCTCATTTTCTCTTGTGTCATGTGTTTTAAGACTTGTACCTTAGTTGATTTGTATTTTTTTAATTGAGTGGGTTGAAAAAGATAGGATTTTCATTTGTTGTGGGTTGAGAAAGATGAAGAAAAAAATAGAGACAAAAAGTGATGTGAAAGTGGGTTGAGTGGGTTGGGAGAGAATGACTCCCTCCTCCCTAATGGGCTAATACGAAGCATACCCAAAATGGTATAACTATACATTAACACAAACCCCATATTTTTATGGAAAGGAATGGTTCTAACATTTAATCTAGACTTAAACTCATGAAAACCCCCAATTTGTATTGGAAGGAATTATCTAACATTTAAAATGGACTTAAACTCATGAAACAGAGACAGACGGGATCTATTTGGTGATGATATTGATATACTCAGATCCATTATGTACATGAAGAACTAGAACCCTTCCCAAGGCATCGTGATCACGAACAAGATGCATATTCATTTCTTTCTGTTGTAATTAGGGATGTAAATGAGTCAAACTACTTGTGAACTACCCAAGCTCGGATTGTTAAAAGATCGAAACGAGCCGAGCCCAAGCTCGAGCTTAGAATAAGACCCATTTAATAAACAAGTCCGATATTAAGCCTACAAGTAAAGGCTCATTTAAGCTTGCGAGCTTAAACGAGCTTTCATATAATATAATTTTATTTTATATATTATTATTTATAAATAAAATAAGAAAAAGTAATGAGTTGATCAGGATCTTTAACTAGATTCACGGACAAACGAGCCTTAACGAGCTTCATATATGCTTCACGAGCCTAGATCAAGCTCGAGCTTGTATAACTTTAAACAAACCTGCTCAATTAGTTTAAAGCTCGGCTCGGCTCATTTTCATTTCTAGTTGCAATCATGAATCGAATGATAGTGTTCGTAGGTTTCACTTTTTTGAATCACACAAAGCAAAAAAAAAAACAATAATTCAAAAGTAAACGTTTTGATTCGGTTCATGGTTTTATTTGTTTTCTGAATAATGATAAATTAACTAAATTAGCAAGCAATACAATATAAATCAATGAAAAAACATCACAAATCACATGATATGGAGATATGCCTTTTGGGGCTACTTACATAAGTGAATGGTGAGACGTAAGGGACGTTTGGAGTGCTTGAAGGGTTGGGGCTATTTGCATAAGCGAATGGGGAGACTTACGTCAGTTCATCATTGTTTGTTTCATTATTTTGTCAAAGATAAACATATGACATTTATTAAGGACTTTTTTTTGTTAAATTTTATAAACAAATATTGGACTGGACAAGCAATTTTATGACTATCCATTAAATTCATTAAGCAACAAACAAACACCATGCACCTAAATATATCGATAAAATTATCACACATTAAAAACTAAATTAATCGAAAATAATATAAAACACAAAATCACGTCATATTACCAAACAATGAATCCGAATGTTTATACATTTTATCATACCTTTGATATATGTCGACTAAGTGAACTTTAGATATCTAAAAGCTACACTAACAGAATTTACCAAGTGTTTCTAAAATCATAGCATGATAACATGATGATTAACAAAACAATAAAACATCATTATAATATACTATATTATATTTGTTATACATAATAATAATAATAATAATAATAATAATCAAATACTTAAATTTGTGTATATTTTGTGTACGCCTACATACTAAGAAAATTGTATACACTTATAAATTGATGTATATTATTTTCTTTTGAAATAAATGACATTATCATTGTTTTAAAAACCAATTAAGACCGGTTGGACTGGAAAATAGATCGGTTCAACTAGCAACGATTTTATTTTTATTTTTGGACTTAAACATTTTTTTTAGATTTGTTGGTTTTTTCATATCTATTTAGGTAGTGTTTGTTTTTTGTCTGCAGATCTGCGTGACCTCTTCTGTCTGCGCCGTGCAGACCACTCGCAGACATTAGCCTTCGCAGACTGTTTGTTTTTTTGAAGACTGCAGACCTAAAAATGTCTGTGCGCCCTCTTCTTGGCGCAGATGTGGACCAGAGTCTTCTAACATCTTCAGACATCTTTTAGCCTAAAAAAACATATATATCTTTATTTTTTTTAAGTTTTTTTTTAATTTATTTTTTTTTCAACTTTATTAATGATAAATAATTTGAAAAAAAAATTACAAAACTTAAAAAAAAAAACGTTCGACGATACAAACATGATATTTTTGACAAATTTATAAATAAAGATTTATTACAATAATAGTCGTTGAAATTGTTTATATAAATATGAAAAAAAAATCATAATATATTCTTATATTTTTTTGCCAAATTTTGTAAAACATTATTTAATACAGTATCGTCAATTTCTCGAAAAAAAATATTTATGGTACGTTTTTAATGGATTTAATTGAAAAAATTAAAGTTTATTTCCATCCATTTATGTATCAAATTCTTTGACCACTAATTATAATGTTTAGTTATAACTTTGCAACCAAAGTTGTTGGTTTTTATCAAATATATACGTTAATTAATACCATTTTTATTTTTATTTTTTATACAATAATACATAAAAGTTGACTAGATTCGTTAATTATTTATAACAAAGTCATAAAAATATTAAAAAATCACTTTGAAGTTTAAAAAAATGAGTTTATTTAGATTTCAGTTTATTTTAGTAGCCCGCAGATGTTAAAAAAACAAACAGTTTTCTTTTTTCATACTGCAGACGTTTGGTACACCTCTTCTACTGAAGAGGTCTACAGATGTGGTCCGCAGACTGCAGACATTTTGCCTCAGAAAAAACAAACAACACCTTAGACTTCTGTGTACATCTTTCAGCTTTATTCTTTACAATTCCAAAAAATGACTTTGAGAACCTTTTGAATATGAGATAATCATATTTGAATTGATTTATAATATCCATATTGGCTGAGTTTGTAGACATTTAAAATGACAAAGAACTCCTTGTATTGGATCTTTAATAAGCTTTTCCCTAGCTTAAGTGGTTAGATGTTATGTAACTTTTTGGTACATAAATTATGTAAATTCTGTTTGTTGTTGAAATTATGTAAATTCTAAAAATCGGATTTACCACGATTGAACCGATCGAACTAGAAACTAATAATCAAACCGCTCCAACTAAAAACCCAATATTTAAAAGATTGGTCACTATTAAATCAATCTATTTTAGATTCGGTTTTTGATTCTATTTTGATTCTACCGTTATTTAGACTCCAGTTCGTAGGGGCATTTTGGTACATACACTTCTCTTACTTCCTTCCCTACCACCCAAAGATTTTCCTTTCCATTTTCAACATCGTTTCATCAACCAATCAACGAAATTCGGTTTTCTTTTCTATAAATATCAAAACAGTAGAAGAAGACGGGTTAAGATTTCTCTTTGTTGCAGACAAGCAACAAACTCCGCTAACTGACACTCTTTCGCTCTTACGTTATCAACCGTTCGTCTTTTTCCACTTCTAACCTAATTTCTCCTGGAATAATCCGCCATTGACTGTTCTTAAAGCTTCAGATTGTACTCCTCATCGGTAAGTTTCAATGTCCACCACTTCATCTGCACAAACTCCTAGACAAGTAGTATCACATCGATGTGCATACAATATACGATTGTATGTGGATACTGGATACGTGTGTATGTGTAGTTATTTGATGTCTCTGTTGAGGTAGCATGTGTAATTTATGTTAAGTTCTGAGCAACTATTTGTTGTGATGTTTCTAGGGTACATAATGAAAGGTGCGTGATTAGGAATTGGATTTCACATAGTAGCTTGTATCATGATATTTGCGGTAGATATAGAAATTGAGTTGTTAGAGCAAAATTGGGCTATGATTATGAGAGTGTTAGACTTTAGATGAGTCAAATGGTTCTATTTGACATGTATAGATATGATTAAGTTTGACTAATTGATTGTTGTAAATTGTAATGTTTTTAGGGTAAATTTTGACTAAAGACTAATCAGAAATAGGATTATCAGACTATTAAAGATTGATTGTACAATGTGTAGCTTTTTGAAATGGTGTGTATCATTAATATTTGTTGTAGGTTTAGAGAATAATCTCTTATGTTATGGGAAACTTAATTGACTTTGATGGTACAATTAGTAAATCTTATGTCTAATCTCTTAGATG